CTGTCTACAGCGTAGAGGTAGTCAGTAAACCCACATGTTCACACTTGCTCACCCATCCAGCTAGTGGCTAAATGTGCCATAGATGCTGCTGTCTATAGCATAAAGGTCGCTACTAAACACACACGTGTGCCCAAGAGCTCACCTGCTTGTGGGCCCGGTTGGCTCCTCTGACAGTGCCCTGTGTGGTGAGGGGCCCTCGCTCAGGGGCTGTGCTCTCTCCCTCATGCTGCTGCAGGGGTGCACTGTGACTCTGCAGTGGTGAGGCAAGTGCACTGCAAGTAGCAAGGTGTAAAACCAATGGAGAAGGCCAGAAAACACAGATAGTAACAACAGAGAGACAGAGGAACTGAAATCCTCCTCCTACCCTGTGGAGAAGGTTAACAGCTCTTCACTAGCCTTTAAAGAAGTCACAATGTTACAATTCCGTTTACTTTTTGACTTCCTGATTCTACATCATATTTTTCTATTGTACTCAACCTACTTCCCAAAAGGGTTTGAAGCAATTCGTGAACTATCAACAAGAAAAGTCCCATTTTAAAGAAGAAAGGGTAGATAGTTTAGACATATTCTATCAGAAATATTCCAGGTTTTTTTTTATTTTGGTGATGTAAGGACAGAACTTTAGTTATATGAGATTGATTTACATGTCATTTCTTAATGATAAAAGAATATTCTTGCACATCTCTATAGAACATTGATTTTTGGTTTTGGAATTGCCTGTTTACTTATAAACAGTAGATTGAAGATAAATAAATAAAAAAGCACTGATGGACAAGGAATTCTCAAAATAGATCTTTTAAAACAACCATGGAAACTGATTATATTATTCCAGAAGATCACAATAAAATACAATTTTCCTTCAAAATGTCACTCAAGGAGCAAATAGGCATGAGTAAAATAAGTAAATTTCACATGGGGCATACAGAACTAAGTGGGATTTTAAATGTTGATTCTAGATAAGTTAACATTGACTTTAAAGACCTAACCACCTTTAAAAGTTGAATGTTTTCAGCCTATGCACGATTGTTTCAGTAACATTTAAAGTCACATATTTTGCAATATTTAAATTAATGGATATAGTTTTAGAAAGGAAATTATTTTATGGATTCTAAAGTTTCAGATCAACTGTATCTTAAATTTATCACACTAAAATTTAATAAAGAAGATAAATGGAACCATCTACATTTTTGAAAGAGAAGAATTAAGTTTGATTGAGAAAGCTGTTTTAAAACTTTGAAACTCATGATTCCTCTGTTTTTGCTGCTGTTAGTGGCATAAGAAGGGACTGGCCGTGTTATTCTGCATATTGCAGTTCTTGTCAATGACCTGGTAAGTCTTTCCTTATCGTAGTAAAATGTTAAAATTGCCTGAGATGTGACAAGCATTTCGTCTGGTGTTTCGGAGCCAGACAGGCCCTGCAGGCTCAGAGGAGGGGAGGTCTGAGATGAGTCCTGTTGGAGTTGACAGCGTGGCTCAGTGGTACTGTTAGGGAGAAGTATGGGGTGCTGTGCTCGTAGTGATATGTATGTTCTGCTTTTTACTAATGTGAGAAAGAAATAAGAAAAGTAGGTGATGCCATGTGAAAACATAAAAGTGAGACCAAATCACAGGGTGAGACCAAGGGAAGATGAGTGTCCCTGCATTATCCACTCTACTGCTGGATAAATACAAGGTGGAATTTATCTTAATGTTGACTCCGTGGCCCTGTGATATCTGGAGATGTCTTCTGAATTGGCAGTGATTAAATACTTCTAAAGTTACTGGTTGAGCATCCCAAATCCAAAATGCTTCAGGATCCAAACTTCTTTCTTTTTTTTTGAGACAGTCTCACTCTGTCACCCAGGCTGGAGTACAGTGGCATTATCTTGGCTCACTGCAACCTCTGCCTCCGGGTGATTCTTGTGCCTCAGCCTCTCAGGTAGCTGGGATTACAAGTGTGAGGCACCATGCCCAGCCCAAAATCCAAAACTTCTTGAACGCTAACATGATGCTCAGATTTGGTTGATAACCAGTAAATGTAATGCAGATATTCCAAAAATCCAGAAAAATCCAGTACCCAACACATTTCTAGTCCCAAGCATTTCAGATCAGAGATGCTTCACCTGCACTGCCTTTCCCACTCCACTTTTGTGAATATTCAGTCATGCCCTGGTTCCTGCTCAGACTCTCCTCCTCTTAGCCTTTTTGTGTCTGGTACCGTAAGAGTTCATCAGCATAAAGGCCATAAATATCTGGGCGGTTGATTTAACATGCCCTACAACTCCTGCGCTCTTCTGTGTTAGTGAAGAGTGCTTTTCCTTTTCCTTTTACTTCAGAGCAGCTCTTGCTTGCTTCCCCATTTTTGCTTCCTGGTTTTGCCATTTTACATTCCTCTTATTGATGTTACCCAGTTTGGGATCACCTTTCTTTTGGCCCTCTTTCCACTGACAGGTGAAACATCGATGAATGTTAAATGCAATTCTCTGTATATCTCAAATTAACCATATAATGTTCCTTACTCTTTTTCATTGATATGTGAAGAAACCTAAATTTAATCTCTTGGTTATTTTCTCTAGTATTTTGCCTTTTATTGCCTAATTTGTACCCAATAATTGATTTATCCCTAAAGGAGACTATAAATACCAGTTTTGGTACAGTTTCTATTTTATTATAAGAAGCTCAGACTTCAGCATGCACCGGAATCACCTAGAGAGTTTGTTTAAAGTGCAGGTTGCTTATTAAAGCAAGCTTGTGATTTAGGAGGTTTAGGGTAGGGCCTAATAATTTACATTTTTAACAAGTTCCCAGATGATACTCTCACTGCTGGTCGGGGTCACATTTTGAGAACCACTGTACAGTCTCATGGTGCTGTATTTATTATAAGGTTAGACATGGCCTTTCGGCATAAAGAAAAACCATCATTCAGATGAAGATTCAACATGCTTGAATATTTCTTGCAGGTATAGCCTGTCGTACATCCCATATGCAAGGTGAGTTTGTTTGAATTCTGTCTTGTTTCTGGTTCTTATCTTCATGCAAATATATGAATTTTAGTAATGTTTACATAAAAATACTATTTAAACACTTTTTTTGGTTGATCTTAATTTCCTGAAAGGAAATAAACTTTTTTTTTTTTTTTGAGATGGAGTCTCGCTCTGTCGCCAGGCTGGAGTGCAGTGGTGCGATTTCGGCTCACTGAAATCTCTGACTCTCAGGTTCAAGATTCCCCCGCCTCAACCTCCTAAGTAGCTGGGACTACAGGCGCATACTACCATGCCCGGCTAATTTTTTTTTGTATTTTAGTAGAGACGGGGTTTCACCATGTTGTCCAGGATGGTCTCAGTCTCCTGACTTTGTGATCCAACCGCCTTGGCCTCCCAAAGTGCTGGAATTACAACCGTGGAGCCACCGCCCCCGGCAATAGACATGTTTTCAGTGAGATGAAGAGAAGCTTGCCATGCTAATGTCTGTGTGGAAACATTTTGGTGACATGGAGCAGCTGTGTGGGGAGTATCCTCCCGCCCTGCTGCCTGGCATGCAGTAGGGAATGTGGATGAGATTCTGGACCCTCCCGTGGCTTTAGGAGTTCAGAAAATAGGACACAGAGACTCCAGGAAAACAAATTCTACTTAAAAAAAGGAAGTTACGGCTGGGTGCGGTGGCTTACGCCTGTAATCCTAGCAGTTTGGGAGGATCACTTGAGGTCAGGAGTTCAAGACCAGCCTGGCCAACATGGCAAAACCTCATTTCTACTAAAAAATACAGAATTAGCTGGGCATGGTGTGTGCACCTGTAATCCCAGCTACTCGGGAGGCTGAGGTGGGAGAATCACTTGAACCCAGGAGGCAGAGGTTGCAGTGAGCCAAGTTCGTGCCCCTGCACTCCAGCCTGGATGAGAGCCAGACTCCATCTCAATAAAAAAGGAAGTTACTGGGAAAATGAGGGCTTGCACATAAATGCTTATTTTTAGTCAGCAAAAACAGTTGTATGTCAAGAGGTAACTGGCATTTTAAAATATTTTTCCAGAGAAATGTATTTATTTAGCCGTGGAGGAGAAAACAAAACGAGTTCCAAGTTTAAACCTGATAGATTTAGAAAAAGATTCTGGTGAGGCATAGCTTTGCCTGTTTGTGAAATTCAAAGATATGTTCTATATTTAAAAACAGCAAAATTGTCTGATTAATACGAACAATGAAGGAAATTGGTAGAAGTTTTATTTTTACTGCATTTCAAATGTGTGATTCTTTCTGATAGATACTTATAAGGAGAAAAAGCAAAACAAAGTCAGCTACAGGTGAGAAAACTGCTTAACCAAGAGTGTGCACAGGTGATTTACCATGCATAGGAGCTTTAGAGCAAGGAGACCTCCAGTACTTCTTGGTGCCGAGGAAAGGACCTCTAGACATGATGTCCTGTACAAGAGGCTCTGAAGAGATGGCAGGACTTCGAGAAAATGACCAGCCTCTCCAGACACTTAGGATCCTGCACTTGAGAGCAATAAGCAATGTACAGATTTTGCCTATAAGAATTTTATTAGTGGATATTTTTAATGGCCTAGGTGAAAGCTTTTTTAATGAAAGTATCAAGTAATAGCAGTTTTGGAAAAACATATGAAAGGTCACACTTTAATCTTTTTTTAATTCTGAGGATTCAGTTATAAACATTACACTTTTAAAACTCAGTTCATTAGTCTTTTTTTTTTTTTTTTTTTTTGAGATGGAGTCTCATTTTGTCACCCAGGCTGGAGTGCAATGGTGTGATCTCCACTCACTGCAACCTCTGCCTCC